ATGTGCGTGATCTTCGCGCTTGTACTTCTTGGCATGATAAAAGCCAGTGAATGTAACTTGTTCTCTTGTGTTGTTTTGCGTGACGTCGTGATTTTGATGTCGGGGTTGCACAGCTTTGCTTTCAGCTCTGAGGTTCAAACACCTAATTTATTTATTTACAAACTATTAAAGGTGTATGTCCAGTACAGTGTTATGTGTGTGGACAAGGCGATTGTCACAGAGGTATCCAACCAATCGAAGTGCATACGAGAACATGGATTGAAGCAAGGCGAAGGAACAAGACAGAACAAGACAGAAGGAGGGAAGTGGAACGACCGAGGTCAAGAAGGAAAATGGTACCGATCCAGGGAGATCGCTCCCATTTATAGCAGGTGGAAACATACACACACAGTGGAGACAGAGAATGGACTATCACACTGAAGACAGGTGGAAGCGATATCAGCAATCTGTTGGGACCAACAGATGCCACAACAAGATGATACACCAAGATGGTACAGCAAGATGTTACACAACAAGGTGGGACAACATCAAGTACCAGAGGACACACAACGTGGTAAAGTATACCGTCTCAGATTGTGCCTCTAATACTCCCCTTCAAGCTGAGAACGGAAGAGCATGTCACACAAACGACGATGGCTCGGTCCATTGAGCAGCTTGGTGAGAAGGTCAGCAACCATGTCCTTGGTCCCGCAGAACCGGACATCGAGCTGGTTGCGTTCATACCTCTCTTGCACAAAGCGATACTTGACAGCAATGTGCTAATAATAATAAATATATAATAATAATAAGCAATGTGCTTGGAGCCCGGAAAGTTGGCTCCGTTTGTAATCATGTGGATCGCCGCCTGGTTGTCACTGAACAACACGGGCTTGAAGACGGCGTGTGAGAGTTCACGAACCAAATGATCAACAAACATAGTCTCGCTGGCCGCAGAGTAAGCAGCCATAAACTCGGCTTCAGCAGTAGACGTGGCAGTGACCGTCTGCAGCTTGGAGCGCCACTGCACGGGTCCACCAGCGAGGTAGACAATGCAGCCTTCACGAGACTTACGACCAGTTTCTTGAGCAAAGCTCGCATCAGTGTAGGTCGTGAGGCGAAGGTGCTGGCCAGACCGATAGGTCAGACCAAGGTCCTTCGTGCCCTTGACATAGCGGAGCAGGTGCTTGGCAGCGTTCCAATGCTCTACGGTGTAGCAGCTGGCAAAGGAGCCCAGCATGCTGACAGCGGTGGCAATGTCAGGGCGAGTGTGAGTCATGAGGTAAATCAGTTTGCCCAAGAGCTCACGGTAAGGGATCGACGGGTCAATGTCGGTACTCCCCTTGTCGAGGCAAATGCCTGGACTCAACGGCATCGGCGCGGGCTTGGCATCGGTCATGTGAAAGGTAGCCAAGATATCGTCGATGTACTTTGTCTGCT